AAATAATAAAATAAATAAAATAAAGGCAGGGAGAAGGCTACCAGCCTTTCCTCCTGATATTCCTGAGTTGCAACTTTCATTATTGGAATTATGACTATAATACAGACCAGAATCGCTGTATTAAATGAGACATTATCTGGACTGCACCTAATTCTAAAAACTTTTTTGCCATGGCCATTAAGCAAATCACGCCACTAAGCAAGCCCTCACACGATCACCATTTGTAACATTCTCTTCCCCACTGAAGGTGGGGCGTGGCTTGTCAGAAGGTGGCTGGGAAGGTCACAAATGACAATCACATGATTGCACGACATGGCAACTCTCATAAACGTGAGCCGGTTGTCGAGCACCCAGATCACAACCATGGGACCGTATGGGTGGTCGTAACTTAGAGGACAGGTTGCAAATGACATTTTTGTAGCACTCTCTTGTAACTCTGAACCCCCGTTTAACACAGTGGCCCCCAACGTTTTGGGCACCAGAGACCGGTTCCACGGAGAGAGGTTTTTCCACAGCCCGGAGGGGACGTGGTTTCATGTGGTGCCTCCCTCCTGCAGATGGGGCTTCGTTTGTTTGTGCGGCCCAGTTTCTCGCATGCTGCGCCCCTGTGTCAGTCCACAGACCAGGGTAGGGGACCTCTGGTTTAACCAATGGTCATAAATCAAGGACTATCTGTACTTATGCTTCGAGAGCAGAAGGCCCGGAAAAACTAAGGGGAAAAAAAAGAGATTGTCAGCCTTCAAGACTCCTTTCCTTTCTCTCATCTTTTTGGCTGCCATAGTAACAGGGGGAGGGTGAATTAATTGGGTTTTGTGGGGGTGGGAAATGTGCTGGAGGTTTTAGAGAATGAACTGTATAACTTGGGGAAAACTTTGTTGTCTATGCATGCTTACTTACTTACTGTGCAACTGTAAAAAAAAACCTCAAAACCTTTGCTAGACCAATACTTGAATTCCGATCTGCTGTCTGGAATCTGCACTGTATATCTGACATAAATACAAAGGTAAGACTTCAAACTAGTGAACTAACCTAGGATCATAAAAGTAGCGTTAGGATTTTAGTACCACCACCAGGGGCAAACCGGAGTCTCTAGAGCAGGGGTTTCCAACCTTGGCAACTTTAAGCCTTGCGGACTTCAACTCCCAGAATTCCCCAGCCAGCTGGGGGATTCTGGGAGTTGACGTCCGCCAAGCTTAAAGTTGCCAAGGTTGGAGACCCCTGCTCTAGAGTGTGGCTGAACCCTATCCATCTAGGCATGACTGGGGGGCAGAAACTTCCAGCTTCTGTTCTTGGCACCTGCCTTGTCTAGAACGCCCTGGCTAAACCAGAAGAGGAGATGACTGAGGAGATTTTATTTCTATCTCGAAACTTCTACAGAGTGGTCATGCTAAAAATAGAGATTTATTTGTTTTGCTCCAGCGGACAGTACTAGGATCAGAGGACAAAAACAGCAGGGAAACAGGTTTTGCATTGAATCATCTTAAGGGTAAACATAATTTGGTAAGAAAAGGTGAGTTTTTCTTCTCTTGAGGTGCTTAGGCAACAGCATGCAGATAGTCCTTGACGTACGATCACAATTGAGATACAATTGAGTCATTTGTTAAGTGAATTTTGCTGTGAATGACCGTTTTTGCCACACTTGTTAAATGAATCACTGCAGTTCTTAAGTTAGTAACATTCCGTGGGCACATTTTTGCCAATTTTGGGGCTTTGGGCTTATTTCCAGCAAAAAATACCGGTAAGAATACATTGATTTGCTCAACATCAGAGTTAGGTTCAGCTAGAGGTTATTGTTATTGTTCACTTAATGACCTGACCACACTCATTTAATGACCACAGCAAAAAAAATCATGTCCAGTCATGTAAGTGCCTTGACTTATGTCAGTTATGACTTACGGCAGAAATTCCAGGCTCTATTACAATCATAAATTAGGATAGCTTTATGTGTTTATGCTGCCGTCGATGCTTTGTGAGCACGTTGGGCAGGGTGAATTACTTTATAGAAAATGCTAGCTTGATGAAGATGTGTAACTGCCAAGAGCTGAGAACTTATTAGACTATTGGAACCTAGGTTTGAATTGAGTCTGGAAACAAACTGGAAACCAAGGAAACTGAAATAAAACCTGAATGGGGGGAAAAAAGGAAGAGACAGCACTCTGCAGCGGAGAGTTTATCCAGCCCTTTGAAGCAGCAGAAAATGGAAGATTATATTGCAAACAGACAGTCTGTTCCAGGGAGTAACTCATTCACAGGCACCTTGTCAGACAAACTTAATTTATGTGATTCATTGGAATGGACTTACAAACCGAACTGGAAGATAAGCAGTGTGTAGAGCTGTGCTCCTCCCTCTCGGAGGGTGGCTGGCTCCTGTTCTTGGAGCCCGGCAGCAGCCTTCTTTGCTCAGGGGGGAGAGGTAACAAATTTAAAGAAGGAAAATGTGACAGACTTCCTCTCTAGATAATGCTTGCTTACAGCTCAAACTGTAAATTCAACATATGACCTTTTGTCAATTGTCATAAATAAGGTCGGTTGCCTGAAAGAATCTTTTGCAACGTTTGTTAGGACCCACTCAAATACTGTAGAAGGACTTGGGAGGATAACCACAGATAGATATGGGACGGCTAACTCAGAAAAGGAAACTAGCGAAGGACCTCTTTTTTCCTCCCCAAAATTTTCCTCCCATAGAGAAAACAATCAGGTAAAGGCCTAAGAGATGACCAACATAACTACGGTCTGCAAACTAACCAGGTTACCTTGCAAATTTATGACAAGGGAGTAAATAGAGGGCATTGGAGTAAGAGAAAAGCTATTAGGCTGTCCCTGAGCCAGCTGCTCCGTTGTGAACTCACTCTGATAGATCTACTACATGCAGAGTGGCTGCCAGCAAGAATGCAATGTATGAGAATTCTCCTGTTGTTCAAGCAACCCATAATACCTTCCATGCTTTTCAGAATGAAGCCCTTTCTGAGCACCTTCTCAATATTTCCAATAAGGGTTTTTTGCTCAGAAAAAGTGTACCCACTCCTGAAACAGCATCACCAAGTGGGAACTGTTCCTTTAAATCTAAGGTTGCAACAGCTCTCACATTGCTAAATCTGAGGCTGCTGCAACTGAACTGACCCGGAGAAGGCAAAGAAGCAATATACAAACTGTGTTACCCACAGCTGTAAGGAACTGCTGAGGATGTGCCAGAGGAAACGTTGATTGACTTATTCAGTGCATTGTCAGAACCTGAGCAAGTTAACATCACTCAAAGATTGGATGACCTAAAAGAGGCATTGACAACAACTCAATCTACAGCAAAGCCTCTATTTAATTCGGCTCCACTAACCACGCAATCTTGTGACAATGTATTTAGACAACAACCCACCTGCACGCCAATGCTGTGGCGTCCTTGAGGAGAACTTCGCCAAAGCCGGGACCAGGGATCCAGTCGGTCAAGTTTCCTACGAGGGATTTCCCTCCGCGTTATCTCGCGGACTTTTCCCCACCGCAGATTCGGAGCAATAAACCGAGAGGAAGGTGGGGGGGGGGGGGGGGTGGCGGAAAAAATCGCTTTTTTTTTTACAGCAAGGTGATCGGATAACTCCAGGTGGCCTCTGCCGGTGGGGCAGGTCAACGGCTGAGTCAATCCTAAATAAACTAAAAAATGCAATTCCTGGCGGCCCCGGGGCTGCCTAAGCCACCTCTTCTTCCCCGCCCACGAAGTCTTCTCTCCGGGCCTCTGAAAGCCACCTTCGGACTCACCTGCTTCCCCTTTCCAGCTGCTGCCTTTGCAGAAACAGGCGCCGGTTTCTGGCTCTCCCAAGCAAAACAAGCGTCCGATTGGATCCGGAAGCCGCCAACTCCCCGCCCCCGGATATCTCGCCTCTGCAAGGGCCGGTTGGCCTGGAGAAGGAGAAGGGAAGCAAAGTGGGCGGAAGACAGTGCGGCTCCTCTTTCATCGCCGCAGCCGGTGCAGCCGGCTTGGAGAGGGCGAGATGCTCCGGTGGGGGGGTGGGGTGAGGGGGGGTGGATGCGGGTAGCGCCTTCCTTTGGGTTGGGCGACCTCTAGTGGCCGCGGGGGCAAATGTCAGGTGGCCAAAC